AGGGTGGCCTTGGGCCAGTCACCTTCTCTCCGCCCTAGGAAAGAGGCAATGGCAAACCACTTTGAAAATCTTGTCAAGTAAATCCCAGGGACCAGTCCAGATAGTCACCAAGGTGCGGCCTGGGTCAGGGCCAACGCAGTGGGGGCCGTTCCCTCACTGTTTCCAGGATGGCTTTGCAGGCCACATGAAACCACTTTGCAGGCTGCATCCAGCCCCCGGGCCTTGTGTTTGACATGTCTGTTCTACAGAATAACCTGGAGCAGTCTGGATATTGCTGTTATACTTTTTCAGGTTGCACCGATTCTGTCAATAAAAATGACCCCCAACATGTGCCTGGAAATCAGGTGTATTAAGGTGGTGACCAGAGTGTACTCAGCCAGCATTAGCACAGAGGTGTCCACAGGAGGGTGACCTCCATTGCATCAATGTGACCACCATCTTAACTTTTTCAACTCCTTCTCTGCAGAATCAGCACATACCTAAAGAGAGTTAAGCCACTAACAGGAAGCCATTAGCAAGCAGATGGGAGATTTTCTCTATGCAAAAAAATCCACACGGCAAGGAAACGAGAATTATTCCTGACAAAATGCATCGGTTCCCCCAGAAATATCCCCAGGAATTTAGCTCTGTACAGTTTGTTTATTTGTGGGTTTTTTTTTTTTAAACGTCCACATGTATCTTTGCATCTCTCCTCCGGAGTCTGGGGACTCCTACCTCTTTTCAGATATGGATGACAGCCGTGGGCATGTTATGTTTTCACAGACTGAATGTGCAAAAAGGTTCCAAAGGGTCAACGTTTTCAAGGACAGAGCAGGCCCAAAAAATATGGAGCCAGCTTATCCAAAGCTATCAGCTGTTTGACCCTCTCCCACATCTGCAGGAAATTAGGCGCCCTCTAACCTTGAATCGGGACTGGAGGAAACCAGCAAACAAGCAAACTGTGCAAGCAGCTGACAGAAGGACGTTGGGAATGTGGGGATCACCAAAATCACTGCGAAGGAGAAAAATAAAACAGCATATGGGGGTCAAAGAAAGAGGTAAAGACCTGAATTGTTAGTCCCAGCCAATTTTTTTTTTCTTTCTATTTGCACGTAACCAACACAAAATACAGGCATTCTTCTACTTACAAACGTTCATTTAGGGACCGTTCCAAGTTACGATGGCACTGAAAAAGAGACTTATGACCGTTTTTCACAGTTACGACCATTGCAGCATCCTCAGGGTCACGTGATCAAAATCCAGACGTTTGGCAACTGACTCATATTTATGACAGTCAATCTTTACAGGAGTCTGAAATATAATTACAGGCAGTCCTCGATTTAGAACCATTTGTTTAGTCACCAAAGTTACAACGGCACTGAAAGTTACAACGGCATTTTTCACCTATTACCCTTGACACCCTCTTCTTTGTAGTAACCCCTCAGATATACTATATATAAACACTGGCTCCACTGATTGTTCTTACTGTCGGGAAGTTTCTCCTTAGTTCTAGGTTGCTTCTCTCCTTGATTAGTTTCCATCCGTTGCTACTTGTCCTGCCTTCAGGCGCTTTGGAGAATAGCTTGACTGCCTGTTCTTTGTGGCAGCTCCTGAGATATTGGAACACTGCTATCATGTCCCCCCTCATCCTTCTCTTCATTAAACTAGACATACCCAATTCCTTCAAGCATTCTTCATATGTTTTAGTCTCCAGACCTTTAATCATTTTCGTTGCTCTTAGTTGCTTAGTTCTCTGCATTCTTTCCAAAGTCTCAAGAAAGTCTCAAGTAAGACTAGCATTTTCCACAGCTGCAGTAAAAAGCAATTGTTTACTTATGAACATTTCTATGCTCCTCTACTCTCAACATCTCAGAGCTAGGAAGAGAAAAAAAGCAGAGGAAAAACAAGACCACAGTCCTCAGACAAATGCATTATAATGGCATTGATCCACATGGGTAGATACCAACACTTGACACCTCCAAATACTTTCTCCAAGTTTTTTTTCAAGCATCTTTACTTTTCTTGCATCTTCAGCCTTTTCTCAGACGCTCTTGGACAGGACTTACTGGAGCATCAGGGAAAAATTTCTTACAAGAAGGAGCTGCTGCATGAATTGCATGTTTTAGGACTTACTGCCCACACAGATCGCCCTCATTTAACAACCACAGTTGAGACCGGCAACTCTGTTAAGAAAGCGGTCACCAAGTAAAACCAGAAGGGTACTTATCATCTTACAAGAAATGATTTGCTGACCTGCAAATGTCGTTAAGTAAGTATAAGGTTTAGTCGTAAAGTTACTTTTTCATCACTGTCGTAACTGCAAATGGTCACTAAATGAGGCAGTCGCTAAACAAGTATTAGTTGAATATGGTAAGTCAGTGGTGGTGAATCTATGGCACGGGTGCCAGAGGCGGCACTCAGAGCCCTCTCTGTGGGCACGTGCGCTGTCGCCCCAGTCCTAGGCCTTCAGCTGGATTTTATAAAACCTTTTCGCTTTAGGCCTCCGCCGCCATGTACAAAAAAAAAAGGTTCAATCAATCAGTCAATTTCAACTTCTCACGGGAAAAAAAAAGACCTTGCAAAGTTGGAATTGATTGATTGAACTTTTTAGTCTCACCCAGTCTGCCGTTACCACCGCATCCACACCCACCCCATGGGCCACACTCAGCCAAGGGGCCACATCCACCCGGCACCCGACGATGCATAAGTGGGTTTTGGGTTGCAGTTTGGGCACTTGGTCTTTAAAAGGTTCGCCATCACTGTGGTAAGTGAACGATCCAAGCATGCCCGTGATTAGTTGAAAGAGGAGGCATTGAATTGACTTTGTGAAAGAGTTCTGCAAGTGACATATCAACCAGGGGTCCCCAACCCCTGGTCCGTGGACCAGTACTGGGCCACAGCATGCCAGCAAGTGATCTGCACAAACAAGCGAAGCCCCATCCGCAGGATGCAGGTAGCATACAAAACCACACTTCTTCTTAAAGCTAATATTGTCTTCAAAGGAATAGTTGTAGATTTTGTCATATAGTTTCTGTGATAGTCTATCATTACAAAAAAAAAAAAGTCAGTTTGGTGCAGTGCTTAAGGCACCAGGGTAGAAACCAGGAGACTGTGAATTCTAGTTCTGCTTTACTCACAAATCCAGCTGGGTGACTTTGGGCCCGTCTTTTTTATCTCAGTTCTAGGAAAGTGACAAGGGCAAGCCTCTTCTGAAATCTTGCCAAAAAAAACTACAAGGATGATTCTGCTTGTCTCCAGGACTCAATACTCAAAGGGGCGGGGGGGAATTCCACAAACTAACCTGTTTTAGCAGTTTTGAACTGAAGAACAGACAACAGCAGCTTCACTTCCCCAAAAAGACATATGTGTTTTATCATGAAGTAAATTCTAGTAAGTTCTGAAGTCTCCTTAGACTTAATTTGGACTTAGGTACTTGACTTAAACCTGATAAGAGGAATGTATTAGCTGAGGAGTTTGAGAGAGAGCAAGTCTGATCTAGTGTTTAGGGAACCAGGTTAGGAATTGGGTGACTGCGAGTTCTAATCCTGCCTTAGACACAAAGTGTGATTTTGAGCCAGTCACTCTCTCTCAGCCCTAGGTAGGAGGCAAGAACCAACCACTTCAGAAATCTTGTCAAAATTGGCAACCATGGAAATCAAGATTGATTTCAAAGTGTACACACACACACACACACAAACCCTTTAATCTCTCTTATACACACACTGCAAATAGCAAATATTTTTTTCTCTCTTTTGATTTGGAAGGTATCAAGTTGAAACAAAGCACAGAGTGGTATGGAAAAAAAGAAGCATCTGAATAGCTCAAATCTGAAAGTTACACTTCTGGCAGATTCAAAGTTACTTTTATTCATTTAAAATAAAAGCTTAGATTAAAATTTGCTTTGCATTGTTGAATTAATCGCTACAGTTCCCCAACTCATTCAGTTAATTAGCAGCGTGTGGCCCCAATGTACTCTACATAGACCTCAATTTAGTAATCAGCCGAAGATGCTACATGAATGCAGCTACCTACTCTAGGATTGAATTGTTTGTATTGTGTGATAGCCCTTCCGGATCTATAGGTGTGCATTGTGTTCATGCAAAGGAGAAAGAGAACGTAGGATTCTGTTTTCCATCAATTTTTTTTAAATTTTCAAAAACTCCTAATCTTTTCCCCTTTACATCCCCCAAGGATTCCACAACGAAAGTGGATAATTCTGATCCACAGCATAATACAGGTAGACTTCAACCTATGAACATACTTGAGCATGGACTTGTTTGTAAGTTGTGACGGTCATTAAACAAGTCGCCACGTGACCATGCCTGATTTGACGAATTTATTTGCACCAATTGTTAAGCAAATGCTGCATTCCTTGAGCAAGTCCATTTTATCCAATGTGCATTTTTTTTTTTTTTTTTTTTTTGCTGGAAACTGGAAATAAATACCAGGGACAAGCAAACATTTTGAAAATCAGTCATGTGACCACGATACAACGCAAATGGCCTTAAAGATGAGCCAACTGCCAAAACTGCAATCACATGACTGCCGGGGGGGGCATTACAGCCCTTCTAACTTCAAAATTGAGTCGTAAGTAGCTTTGGGGGGAGTCCATCATAAATTTGAATGGTCATTGAGCAAGGACTTCCCTGTATACTGGACGGCTCAATATGTTTGACAGTTTTCTTGGAACTGTATCCTGCGTAGAGCAATTTTTCTCAACCTCAGCATCTTCAAGAAGTGCACGAACAGCACGCTGGCTGCGGAATTCTGGGTGTTGAAGTCCACACCTCTTAAAAGTTGTGAAGTTGAGAAATACTGCTATAGAGAAAGATACACAAGAAAAATATGAACTTCCTTTGGGTAACGTTTCTCCATCACTCCTGTTTATTGAAGAACTCCTACTGTAATACACAGGGGAGAATCTCAAGCAGTTTTCATGCAAAGGCACAGCTAATACAACCTGCAGATAGATTTATCCTCTCCCACCTACCATCTCTGGTACAAAACACAGGGCTCCCCAAACGGATTTAAATCTTTAATTTCAGCAGTGGATTGGTGTTCTAAAATAAAAAATAAAAATCCAGCACAATGTCCCCAACAGAAATTTCCAGGGAAAGAAATACACAATTTCCTGAGAGGTGACAGTGCAAATATGGTTCAACAGTGGCCTCTGGCAGCAGCCAAGAACGTCCCCCTTGAAGTGAGGTTTCCAGCAGAAACAGGAACAGTTTTTCATTTGCCTGTCCAGAGTCAAAAAGTCTACAAGCTATTTGAAGAAAAGACCTTCCCTTAAAAGAGGTCTATATACTTTGCGAGAGTCCCTTTAAGAGCCAAATTCCTGCCTTCCCTTTAACAGCCAAATCCTGCCTTGGATGTGAACTAATCTTTTAGATGTCCATTAATTGAGCTTCGGAGGCCATTCCATTAGAGGATAAACAACATTTTATGGAAGAGGGGAGATTCCAAAGTCAAATATCAAGATTCATAAAATCCATCTTCATCTCCGCGGGATCTCAGCAGCTGCAGAAATCTGCCAGAGCTGGAGAGAACAGCAAACATACTTTGCATGGGCTGATGGGCTCAACACCGGCTGGAAACCAATATTCAAAATCAAAGAATTCAGACCTCAAATAAAAGAAAATCTAACCAGCTAGCAATAAAAATAACCAGCTTCCTTAATTCTTCTCAGGCCGGTTCCGGTTGAGAACTGCTTTGGGGGCAAATTCCAGCTTGTCCTTCAGGCTGACCACTTGGGTAAGGTCTTTCCCAACACTCTCTTGGAGCTTACGGTCCTCACGCCGTTCTGAAATGCTCTTCTCGTCCTCGGGGGTCTGCGGAGGGGGCTTGCCCCGGATGAACCACTCGAGGTTGTAGCCCACCACCCCAACCACAAAGGCTACGGGGAAGGTAACGTAAGGAGCATAGGTCCGTATGCTGGCCCAGAAGATGGGCCACATGACGCCAAGCGGGATCTGTAGAAACGAAGGAAAACACAGTTGAAGGATCAGCATCAGCAACACCACTATACAGGTAGTCCTCGGCTTACAATTCATTTAGCGACTGAAAAAAGTGACTTACGACCATTTTTCACAGTTACGGCCTTTGCAGCATCCCCACGATCATGTGATCAAAATTCCGATGCTTGGCAACTGCTTCATACTTATGACCGTTGCGATGTCCCAAGGTCATGTGATCCCCTTTTGCGACCTTCTGACAAGCAAAGTCAACAGGGGGGGGCAGTTTCAGTCAACAACCAGATCACTAACTGATCAACTGCAGTGGTTCACTTAACAACTATGGCAAGAAAGGTCGTAAAATGGGGCAAAACTCAACGGTGATCCTAATGTCTCACTTAACAACAGAAACATTGGGCTCAACTGAAACCCCCCCCCAGAGGGAGAGGTGATTGGGAAAATACTGGAATGTGCAGAAATGAACAGAGTAACAACGACAATTAAAGATAAGACAGAGTCAGACTACTATGAAATCTGCGGAACTTTTTATGATTGGCTGGTAAGAGAATACAGTTAAAAGATAGTTAACATCAATTTAGATGGAAGAAGAAGGAGCAGATAAGGAGGGAGACCCAGGCGACACAGTATTGAATAACTGGAGGTTGTATAAATATTTATAGAAGCATATACCGAGAAGGTTAGATAAATAGAAGTATTAATGTAAGAGAAAATTAATCTTATTGTATATAATACATTTAGGGAAATTTGGAGAGAGGAGTTGCTCGGACATTACCCCTGAATTTATCTGAAGAGGGATGAGAGGGAAAAAAAGAGAGGAGAGAGAAAAGAGTAAAGGAGGGGAGAAGGAAGTAGCAAGGTTGGAGGAGAAGAGAAGTAGGGAGAAGCGGTGAAGGAAAGAGAAGAGGAAGAAGAGGGAAGTAGGGAAGAGAAGAAAGGGAGAAAGAAGGTAGAGAAGAAGGAGTGTGGATACAGTGAAAGGGGAAATGGGCGAGCAACACCAAAAGTCATGTGTATGTATTTATTTCATTTTATTAAAAGTATCTTACATATGAATGTAAAAAGAATGTTAACATCTGATAAATATCATGGTATATGTATGGGGGAGAGTTTGGAAAAATAAAAAATTATTAGAAACGCTGGCCTCAGTTGTGGCTGTAAGTCGAGGACTACCTGCAGTTACATTCAAGGCATGCTCAGGAAATGGATTTGCATGGGGAAGCTATCTATATTCACCGGCTATGATCAGTCTGGCCAGAAATCCCAGTTTAAAGTGTCTGCTTCAAAGCATCTATGGCAGAGGTCTCCAATCTTTCTGGGCTCAAGGACTGGAGGGAAGGAGAGCAGCTTCAAAATTGGTGTGCGTGCACGCATGTGTGCATGGGGCCACACACACCGTTTACACACGCGGCATGTGCTGGCACTGTGCGTATGCATGAATGGCCGTGTACCCCCATGGCGGCTAGCAACCTGTTTGTGCATGTACAAAGAGGTCGCGCAAACCGCTCAGGCTAGCAGCACATGTGCAAACGGGCTGTGGACACCCACTCCGGGCTAGCATTCCCGTTCACGCCTGCGCACACGTGCAAACAGGACAGCGGGCGCTAGCACAAGTGGAGGGGAAATGCACGCCCACGCCTGCGCACACTGGCCAGCCTTTTGTACGACCTGCTAGCCAAGAGCCCACGGTCTGATCCCTGATCTACGGGATCTTTGGTGCTCTCTGGGCCTAGTGTTTTTCTTGCAGACGTTCCCTTGGCACTGATGATGTTACCTAGTTTAGCAATGAAAGGTCTGCAAGAAAACCACCAAGCTTAGAAAGCACCAAGAACCTCACAATCCTGAGCTATAAATATTCCGTCGGTCCATCCATCTATTCCGTAGCTACTCACTTCACTATTCCCCCAACTAAGCCATTCTGCACGAATAGTAAGCACATTGCAAACGCTCTGGACTGTGATCAAATAACCATTTTTATTAGTTAAAGAGAATGCAAGAAGCTGGCAGTCATTTTAAAAGCTTTAAGGGTAATTCGTTTAAAATGATTGAAGGGTAAAAGAGGAAAGGAATCTGATGATTACTCAGAGCAGTGTTCAAAGGAGGACTGTTATACCTCCATATCTGTCCCCCTCATTTGGCAAGAAGCCTGCACTGGAGGTATTTCTGTAGGGCAGTGGTTCTCAACCTGTGGGTCGGGACCCCATTTTGGGGTCGAACGACCATTTCACGGGGGTCGCCAAACAACGCAGTCCGCCATTTTTTTCCCCTTTTCCTTAGCTGTGCTACTCCCTTTTATTCTATTGGCTTTTGAAAGCCAATAGAATAGACTCTCTTGAATAGAGTCTAATTCTATTTGCTTTCAAAAGCCAATAGGAATTGTCCAGGCTGTCTCTGCCCTGCTGAGCCCGCCAAAAGTCCCATTCTGCAAACGGTGCTGCACCAGTTGAGTAGTCCTTGACTTACAATCGGTTGAGTAGTCCTCGACTTACAACCGGTTGGGGGTCGCGGCATTAAAAAGGTTGAGAACCACTGCTGTAGGGGCACAATTTCAGCAAACCATGGCTTTTAGCAGGCTCGGGCCAAGAATCCATTTTTGCTAGGAAAAAGAGGTATTTTCTCTGCAGGTGACTGAATTCCCTGGGGAGATGGCAAAACCACCACCGAGTATGTGATAGCGTTTTAAAAGACTAACCCTAACTTTATTGGTTTTTAAAAAGCCACAAGGCTCTTGATTGGTTTTCCCTGAGTAGCTATTTAAAATGTCATTTTGTCTCCCCTGGGCTTTTTCTTTCCAGACAGCAAGAAATCAAAGGCACTTTATTTAAGCAGAATTATCTCCTTCTTGCTCGGCTCCAAAGTCCTATTGCAAACAAACACACCCACTTCTCACTGTGGCTTCTCGCCCTGCTTGAGCAAGGCAGAGGCTCTGTTAGCCCTACGTGGTAGACCAAGCTAGAAACCAAGGTTATGAATCTTTGTACATTTGGGGGAAAAAACATATCAGAAAATCTTCACTTACGATATTTTTAAAACACCAAGAGGGCAATTGACGTGAACTAAATGGCCCTCACCAACTTTTGGTTCACATTTTTTTAAAAAGTCATTCCCAAAATGCTTTTTTTTTTTTTTAATCTCAAGACATGTCCAAGCCTCTTAGAATTATCTATGAGACTGAAAGATTCTTCTGACAGCTGCTAAGATCCCAAATTATCTGGGACTTTTTAAAGCCAGCACCTGCATCCTGTACTGTATTTGGAAATGTACCGGAATCCTACAGTGCTATTTAAGGACAGCTAATTAGAGTCCCAGTACATAATTCCAACATGCAGGGAAGTAGACATATCCTGCATTAGTTAGAATTCTCAGGCAAAATAATTGATTGATTTGTAAAATTATCTTTGTGCAGATAACTACAGCGAGTCCTCTTCGGTCCAAGGACAGCGATGTCACTACTTCCTAGACCAGTGTTTCTCAACCTTAGCAACTGTAAGATTGTGGATTTCAACTCCCAGAATTCCCAAGCCAGCCATGTTGAAGTCCACTCATCTTAAAGTTGCCAAGTTTGAGAAACAGTAAGAGCAAAGTGACAAATCAGTACAAGTGAAGACAAAGAACGATGTGATGACTTTGATCTAACACTGGAACTCTTATGCTTTTCCCTAATGTCTCTAATCCAGTGGTTCTCAACCTTTTTAATGCCGCGACCCCCAACCGGTCGTAAGTCGAGGACTACTCAACTGGTGCAGCACCATTTGCAGAATGGGACTTTTGGCGGGCTCGGCAGGGCAGAGACAGCCTGGACAATTCCTATTGGCTTCTGAAAGCCAATAGGATTAGACTCTATTCAAGAGAGTCTATTCTATTGGCTTTCAAAAGCCAATAGAATAAAAGGGAGAAGCAGAGCTAAGGAAAAGGGGGAAAAAATGGCGGACTGCGTTGTTTGGCGACCCCTGTGAAATGGTCGTTTGACCCCAAATGGGGTCCCGACCCACAGGTTGAGAACCACTGCTCTAATCCAACAATTTGATTTCCAAGTCTCCTAAAGTGTCAGTACTATTGTATCTCTAGTCAAAGACCCAGAATGCTACCTGCTTGGAACAGCACCATGAGAGTAGAGGACTGCTTGTACATTAGACTATTATCTCTGCACCTTAGATTCTGCAGTTAATTCTGATCAGTGCCAGCTATATTTAGATGGTAGCCAAAAGCTTATAAGTCTCTGACTGGGAATAGACGCATTTGGGAGAACGTGCTTTGACTGGACCTCAATGACTTGACCTGGCTATGGTTTGCTGGATATCTTCTCCACCTGCTTTCAACAGCCAGACTCTTTAGCTACACTTCCCTACTCTACCATTATCAAGAAATTCCTCCTTATTTCAAGTGAAAGATCCAAACTCAAATTAGGAAAGAATTTCCTGATGGTAAGAGGTATAAAAGAATGGATAAGCATGCCCCCTGACATTATGGGTGCTCCATCAGTAGAAGTGTTCAAGAAAAGATTGGACAGCCAATTTGTCCAGGAGGGTATGAAGATTCCTGCTCTGATCAGAGGGCTGGATCAGAAGAACCTCTATGGGCCTTCCAAACCTACACTACTACATCAAAGTTAGGCACAAGACATTCAGGAGCCTTGTATTCTATTTGCTAGTCATGCTCCAGTGGAAGGCCTGGATTTTGGAGAAGACCTCTGGACCAAACTAACAAACCTGGTCCTTTGTGGGGCACAGACCAATCCAATTCCAATCACTTCCACAGTTGCACTACCCATCAACAGTCCTTGTTAGGAAGGAGCTTTACTGATGTGATTTTTTTTGTTTGCAGGGAAGCGGTTGAGCCAGGAGTTGATGTAAGCCAAGGGTCTTCAAACTTGGCCCTTTTATGACTTGTGGACTTCAACTCCCAGAATTCCTCAGGCAGCGTGCCTGGCTGAGGAATTCTGGGAGGTGAAGTCCACAAGTCATAAAAGGGCCAAGTTTGAAGACCCCTGCTCCAAGACGTGCAAACAAGCCAAGTTAACTCTGAAGCGCTTTAGAAATTTGCTTACATCAGGGGTCTTCAAACTTGGCCCTTTTATGACTTGTGGACTTCAACTCCCAGAATTCCCCAGCCAACTTCTGGGAGTTGAAGTCCACAAGTCTTAAAAGTTGCCACGGTTGGAGACCCCTGTCCTAGTGGACTGCCCACTAGGCAGGAGGGCAGTCAAGTTATAGAGGTCAAAGCTTGCACAACCCACTAAGCACAAAGGATTTCGTCTTTGTTTATATTACAGTGTTTCTCAACCTTGACCATTTTAAAGCATGTGGACTTCAACTCCCAGAATTCCACAGCCAGCAATGCTGGCTGTGGAATTCTGGGAGTTGAAGTCCACATGCCTTAAAATGGTCAAGGTTGAGAAACTTAAAATGGTCAAGGTTGAGAAACACTGGTTTATAACTAAGGGCCAAGGGTGATCTCCTCTATCTTTTCTACCAAGGCAGAGGGAACTGGATAGATCCATTTTGGATCTGCTCAACCTGTCACCACGCCGTGAAAGATCCAGCATTAGCAGCCGAGAGTGACGCTTTTAGGATCTGGATCTAGCAACCAGGGGGAGGGAAACCACCTACCCAACAGTTGACGCTACTAGCTTCCAAACTCGGTTTTGCTTCTCTGACCCCCAAAGGTGGCACCGGATTCCACGCCAGGGGGGGCGCCTTTCCCACCCCCGTCCCCAGATTTCTGCTAGCCGGGTTGCTCAGCCCCTCGCCTCCCTTCCAAGGCGGGGAAGCTCCGGGTTGGATCCCCCAACCCAACGGTCAACCCCTCTTTTTCAAGGACGGGAAGGGGGGGCGCCCGGACGCGCAGGCAGAGATCCCCCAAGCCAGCCAGGCTGGAAACCGTGCGACCGTCCTCCAAGGTCGGGAAGCCTGGCCGAGAAGCTCCAGCCAAGCGCGCAAGGAGCGACCTTGCGGCCGATCGCCGCGCTCCAACGCTACCCGGAGCCAGAACCGGCGCAAACCGTCCCCCGCGGGCTGGAAAGGTGGGGATGAAAACACGCCGGGAAGGCAGGGGGGCTTCCGACGGCCGGGACCGGCCTCCCCTCGCCGCCCTCCGTCTCACCTCCTCTCCTCCTCCTCCTCCAGCGGGGCCGCCGCCAAGCCAGGCCAAGCCCCTCCAGCGGGCTCCGCGTGCGCCCTAGCTCCGCTTCCTGCCGCCGCTTCATTGGCCGCCGCCGCTGCTCTCCGCCCAGGGCTGCCCATTGGCGGCGGGCGGCTGGAGCGAGGAGGGACCGAGCGGGAGGCGGACCGGGAGCTTCCTCTCTCCGCTCCTGCCGCCCGGGGCTGCGCCTTTCTCGGAGAGCAGCCCCGTCCCCTCCGAGCGCCCGGAGGCAGAGCGCGCCTGGTCGTGGCGCGTCGATCGCTTCGGTTTAAGCTGTAGGAACAGAGGCATCGGATCAAACTCCTATTGTTTTTGTAGCGTCCCACCCATGCACAACGTTCCTCCAGGCCTTCCTGTCCTCTACCATCTTCTGGAGTCCCTTTAAGCCAGTGGTTCTCAAGCTTTTTAATGCCGCGACCCCCAACCGGTCGTAAGTCGAGGACTACTCAACTGGTGCAGCCCCGTTTGCAGAATGGGACTTTTGGTGGGCTCAGCAGGGCAGAGACAGCCTGGACAATTCTTGTTGGCTTTTGAAAGCCAAGAGAATTAGACTCTATTCAAGAGAGTCTATTCTATTGGCTTTCAAAAACCAATAGAATAAAAGGGAGTAGCACAGCTAAGGAAAAGGGGAAAAATGGCGGACTGCGTTGTTTGGCGAACCCCGTGAAAAGGTCGTTCGACCCCAAATGGGGTCCCGACCCACAGGTTGAGAACCACTGCTTTAAGCTCACACCTACTGCTCCAGTGACTCCCTCCAGCTACCTCTTTCTCTGTCGTCCCCTTCTTCTATTGCCCTCCATCTTTCCCAACATTAGGCCCTTCTCCAGTGAGTTCTTCCTTCTCATCAGGTGGCCAAAGTATTTGAGTTTCAACTTCAGGATCTGGCCTTCTAAAGAGTAGTCGGGGTTGATCTCCTCTAGGACTGACCTGTTTGAATGCCTTGCAGTCCAGGGGACTCACAGGAGTCTTCTCCAGCACCAGAGTTCAAAGGCCTCCATTCTTTGGCGCTAAGCCTTTCTTAGGGTCCAACTTTCACAGCCATCCATTGCAACTGAGAAAACCATGGCCTTGACTATACGCACTTTTGTTGGCAGGGTGATGTCTCTTCTTTTTAGTACGCTGCCTAGATTTGCCATTGTAGTAGTCCTGCTTTATAAAGCCTTAGTAAGGCCTCACCTGGAATGCTGCATCCAGTTTTGGTCCTCCCGTTACAAAAATGATGTCGAGACTTGGGGAAAGTGTTGGCCTCTTGAAGTGATTTGTGGGAAGTCAGCACCCCCCCTCCCCCAGAGAAGGAAATATTAAAAGGGCAGAATATTATACTTCCTCAAAGGATCTTAAAGAGGCAGAAAAACATGCCCAATTTTTCTTAAGAGCCCCAAGTCTCCCTCCCCCAAGCAGAAACCAGCTCTGTAGAAATGCAGATGTAAATAACCCAGGAAGGCTGAATCTAGAAGATTAAGAAGACAAAGACACCTAACATCTACACACCCTATCCAAACTCCAAGACAAGACATAATAGGATTAACCTACAGATGCCAAAGGGACACAGGTCAAAATACATGACACAGGAAATACAAAGCCTCAAACAGGAACAGGAAACAACTCCAAACAAAAGCCCAAGAAGATATAAAAACCCACTCCCTACATGTGCTCTCTCTCTTTTCTTCCAGAGCCATCTTCCTATCTGGCTCTCCTCTTCAATAAACTGCAACCTTCTTTCTAAAGCAGTCGCCATGTTGTTTATTCCCGGCTTGGACTGAACCATGATGGAGACTTTTCCTTCAACATATTTGTTGGGTTTTGATGGTTCTAGCTGGCTTTGTGCTGGGAAAAAGGCAGGAACTCCAGAGTTGGTCATGCTTGGTCTCAGAGCAGGAGTCTTCAACCCCTGGTCCATGGACCAGTACCAGATGGCGGCATGCCAGTAACCAGTCTGCACAAACAAGTGTGGGAACAATTTAGAGAAAGAAATATTTTTGGGAATGTTAAAAAGGCAGAATATAGTTCCCCAGAAGATTTTAAAGGCAGAAACCAACTCCCCCACCCAAGTCTCTCTGCCCCAAACAGAAACCAGGTCTGCAGAAATGCAGATGTGATAATCTTGTCAGAAAGATTGGAGTCAAGAAACTGGGATTAGGAAGAAAGATCCCTAGAATCAACAATCCCTCACACCAAAAAAATCCAACAGTCATCAGCCCCAGGGAAGCAGGATATGACCTTTGGGACATATTAGGATGAACCCACCACCATCAGAATACCAGAAAGGCACATACAGACTCAGGTCAAAGTTCATGCTACAGGAGCAACTCCAAACAAAAGCCCAAGAAGGTATAAAAACCCACTCCCTACATGTGCTCTCTCTTTTCCTCCAGAGCCATCTTTCTCTCTGGCTCTCCTCTTCAATAAACTACAACCTTCTTTCTAAAGCAGTCGCCATGTTGTTTATTCCCAGCTTGGACCTGACCCTGATGAAGACTTTTCCTTCGCTCCAGCTAGGCTTTGCTGGTGAGCCCACAAGCGATGGCGTGAAACCTGCCCTTGGCACAGTCTCCACAAGCAGGTGCATGTGAATGTGCCTCCAACCTCTGCTTTTCCTTTTCCTGGCTGGTTGGTTTAATTAAGCTCTTGTGCAAGCCTACGTTGCCTAGAGATTAAGCCAAAGGTTGGCTGTTGCAGCACGCTATAATTAGGCTTGTAGTTACAGCTAACCCAGAAATGCTATTCATGTTTGAAATGTATTCAGAAATGCTGGAGCCCCCTTGTTGGTGACGTGAACCCATTGCAAAGGTTGAGGGGGTCTACTGGAAGTGGCCCAAAAGGACAAGACACAGCCGCCACAATGCCATCGAAGTGCCACCTGATTGTTTTTTTAAATGCATGTGAAAACCATGTGTTGCTTTGATGGCATGGTTGTGCCTCCATCTTGACTTTTTTGACCACCCCCTGTAGATACTCTCGATCAGGGTGCTACCCCAGAGCTGCAGGTCCCAGGACTACTTGCTGTTTAGCTTCCAAGGGCATTTTAAAATAATAATAATGATGGTGATGATGATGATGATGTTGGAAGGGATCTTGGAGGTCATCAAGTCCAACCTCTTGCTCAGGCAGGTAACCCTATACCATTTCGGACAGATGGCTGTCCAGTTTCTTCTTAAAAACTTTCAGTGTTGGAGCATTCACCGCTTCTGGAGGCAGGTTGTTCCACTGGTTGATTGTTCTCACTGTCAGGAAGTTTCTCCTTAGTTCTAGGTTGCTTCTCTCCTTGATGAGTTTCCATCCGTTGCTTCTTGTCCTGCCTTCAGGTGCTTTGGAGAATAGCTTGACTGCCTCTTCTTTGGGGCAGCCCCTGAGATATTGGAAGACTGCTATCATGTCCCCCGTTGTCCTTCTCTTCATTAAACTAGACATACCCAATTCCAGTAACTGTTTCTTGTATGCTTTAGCCTCCAGTCCCCTAATCATCTTTGTTGCTCTTCTCTGTACTCTTTCTAGAGTCTCAATATCTTTTTTACATCATGGTGACCAAAACTGGATGCAGTATTCCAAGTGTGACCTTACCAAGGCATTGTAGAGGGGTATTAATATTTTGCTGGATCTTGACTCTATCCTCTTGTTAATGCAGCCCAGCACTGTGTTGGCTTTTTTGGCAGCTGCAGCACACTGCTAGGGAAGCTTCTGATTTTTAAAGCTCTCTGTGGCTTGGGAGCATCATGAATTTGATTTGACTTAATCAGATTTTCCCATCAGATCTAGCCCTACCCGTTTCTCCAGAAGGCAATGAAGATGGAGTGATTTGAAGAGAAACAACATCCTCCATGTAACTGAGATTGCCGACGCTGCTGTGTAATTTTTACCGTGGGACAGTCTCCCGCTAATGATTATTTATTAATCTAATTTATGGTATTAGAGTGTTATTGGGGATGCTCTGTCATTTTGATTATTGTCATTTGTATTGTTTGCCATGGTCGTTTTATTGTTTATGGTGGCGCTGCTGATGTTTTATTACTTTGTACTGTTGGGTGCACCCTGGCTGCATTAATTGGAGCTGGTGTCAGCTGCTGTTGAGGCTGAATAAATTTCAGGCACATAGAATTCATAAATAAAATTAAGGCTCCTGAGATACAGGGAGTGGGCTTTTCACACCACACATGACATTACACCAAACCACAGTGATTGACTTTAGTTCTGGGTTCATAGTGAAAGCTAAATATGGTTTTTTTTAAAAAAAAAAAAAAAAACAGTTGCTGTGTTTATCTGTGCCACAGATTATCAGAAGAATCATATAGTGGCTTATAGAACTGGTTAGCATAGAAAGATAATAGGATAATGGCAGTGGTGGGATTCAGCCGGTTCGCACCACTTTGGCAGAACCAGTAGCTAATTTTTTGTTGCCCTGGCCCAGAATGGACTTCCGGAAACGGCATCCACACAGAGAACCGGTTGTCCATCTATTTGAATCCCACCACTCCTTCCTTCCTTCCTTCCTTCCTTCCTTCCTCCCTCCCTCCCTCCCTCCCTCCCTCCCTCCCTCCCTCCCTCCCTCCTTCCTTCCTTCCTTCCTTCCTTCCTATGGTGGGATTCAGCCAGTTCGCACCACTTCGGCAGAACTGGTAGCTAATTTTTTGTTGCCCAGGCCCAGAATGGACTTCCAGAAGCAGCATCCACACAGAGAACTGGTTGTTCACATATTTGAATCCCACCACGGGATAATGGCCTGTTTTGAATATAATGCACTGTACTCCAACACTGGAAGTTTTTAAGAAGAGACTGGACAGCCATTTATCTGAAATGGTATAGGGTTTCCTGCCTGAGCAGGGGGTTGGACTAGATGATCTCCAAGGTCCGTTCCAGCTTTATTGTTGTTGTTGTTGTTGTTATTTAAGTCACTTTCTTCAGGGCCGTGGTTACTTCGAACGGTCGCTAAATCTACCATTGTAAGTTGAGGACTACCTGTCGAATCAAAGGCTATGAATTAGCCTCCTGTGTATTCTAAGATTTGTCTTTGGGGAATTCTTAAACCCTTAAATTCTGTCAGGTTACAAGAAACCAAACATTGATTTATTTAGATCAGACAATTCTCCACAGTGCTTTTCCTTTAGACACT